CTTCAGAGTCACCTCTATAAAATGAGCACAGTGTTGTCTACCTCCTTGGAGTTACTATGACCAAGAAAAGCAAAACATATAGCACACACAGCTCAAGGTCTGCCCATGGGAACCCATGTAGCAATAATTTAAACTGTTGTGCAGGGATTTGTTGAATCGATAGAAGAAAACATGCTATAAAAACATTCAAGTGTGCATATATGCATGTTTTTTCTAAGCATAATTAAATAGGTATACATGTATATTTTAACATATATGTTATATGTTTAACATATATGTCACAGAGGGGAGTATATGTCACACAGGGTTATATATTTAACAAGGGAATTACATATACACATATATTATACAGAGGGGAAATCTGTGCACAGCAAAATATTAAAAAGAATGACTCTGGAAAGCAGTACTTTGTTAAATTTGAATTTATATTCAAATACATCTTCTACAATAAGCATGAATGATAATTTGTGTAAAACTGATTTGTGTTTTGACACAATTATTGACTCCTATCGATCTGTGTAAAATCTCATTCCTCTTGGGAAAATCCTAAAGTCACTTCAGTGTGAGCTACCGAGTCAAATTTATACCATTTTTCCCCAAAACCACTGCTGTGATTTTCATTTTTAGTTTGTTAGCATTTCCATTTATTCTACTGAACATTTGCCATGTGATTGACACTTGGTTCTTGGTGCTTTATACATATTCACACTCGTCTAAGGAATAATGCTAATATCCTGTATGAGGGGGGGAGAGCTAACCATGGAGATAGGAGATGCCGACGATGGTTTTAAAGCTACTTTTATCCAGGAAAACCAGATCAATGATACCACAGGGCAGGTAGAAAGTTCTTAGAACTTGTTTTAGTTGAAAATTGCATCAGCCACCAAAATGATTAACATGAGTAATATTCTGTAAAATACTAAATATATATATATGTGTATATATATATGTATATATATATATATATATATATATATATATATATCAATGTGAATGTGATTTTATAAAGCACAATTTTACAAAGAAATCACCAAAATCTATATAAGCTATGTAGCAATATTCTTTTCTTTTTAACCAAAACTGTCCATTGGTGCATGTCAGGGAACTTCAAGTGTGTAATCTCAAATGTAATGTTAGAAGACTGAGAAGCCGCCCTCATTATCTCCCCCATCACACTCTTCCCTGCACACGAGAGCCGGTGAAGCCAGCAGGCAGACTCCATAGCTGTGGAGGTCACAGAGGGGGCACGGCGGTGTGTAATACTTAAGCTGCTAGTCAATATGATATACCTTCAGAATCAGTATAATCACCCTGAATAACATAGGAACATCGTGGTAATATACAACAGACTATCATTTTTCCTTGCTTTCCCTTATGTGGCTCTGATGACCATAACTCAGCAACAGATTTGTCATAGATCCTTGCAAGGGAGTGGATAACATCAGTAGGCTTGCATACATCCATCCTGGGATCACAGAGTGTTTTTTCTAATATAAATCTAGATATATTCACAACCATATTTGCTTCATGTATAGAAACAGCTATTCTCAAACAGCAGTGCCTCGGAGGCTAACTGTGTCAAATGCGCGCCTTCTGTTCCTTGAACGTTTGGCAATAGAATGAAACTTTAGCATATATATTAAGGCAGAAGCCTATTACGAGGAGGAAGCATCACTCATGATCCTAGGCTGGGTGCTGCAGGGAAGCCACTGCAGCAAAGGCCTGCAGCCAGGCTGAACCTGGGAAAGAGGAATTACTTTCCCACTTGCTCTAATGTTTACTGTGAAACAGAGGATGAGCCTGTGCTTGAAGCCTTACCATGAAGCAGCAGTCATCTCGGGCTACCCTGGTTCTCCCTTTCACCACCTGTGCCTACTTCAGCAGGTGCCCAGTGTGGTCAGTAGCTAATGGCTACCCTGGTGATTGACTTCACACCAAGAAGCTAGACAGCAGAGAAGTGTTGAGCCATCTGCTCCAAGGTGTAAATCAAAAGACTTTTCCCAACATCATAGGGCTGATGGAAGCAGAACTCTCTAGAAAAATGTTGTTGTCTTTCTTTAGAAATCTCCTTACGTATCCTAAATGGTATCCCCAAAGCTTAAAGTCCCTGAGTCTGAAAAGGAGCAGCATTCAGAAGACAGAACAAGAACAGTAAAGGTAGAAAAAGTGTTTAAAGTTCACTACACTCACCAGCCCAACTCAGCCACTGACAAGGAAGCCAGCACTGAAAGTTATTCTAGCTTGGTAAATCTCAGGGAGATCCAGAGGTAGAATCATACCTAATTCTCCTAGTAGGATCAGTCTTGAGGCTGTTGGGTCAGTGTCTACCCCATTCCCCCAACAGGCTGCCTCACAATGGAGAACAGGAGCTACTGAAGGTTTTTAAGCCAAAAAATGACAAGATCATTTGTGCATTTCAGGAAGTCTGACAGCCTCAGAAGTACAGTGGATTAAAGGACCAACATCAGCTTCAGAGAGAACAGCAGAGCCACAGGACTTGCAACGAAGGAAATAGAGCGGGGGTAGGTACAAGAGAGACTTTAATTATTCTTGTCTACAGAGGCTCCATGAAGGCAGAGCTACTGGTGCTGTAGTCCCAAACACTGTGCCTAGTGCGTAAAGGGGATGTGGCCATTACTTACTAAGCCAGCAAGTGAACTGAAGAAATATAAAGGATAGGCATCAGTTGGTGACTACTGGGCAAAAGGAAGAGAGAAAGCCAAAGGGTATCTCAAAATCTGCGGGTTACATGAAAGAACACTGTAGAAACGGCTGGTTTCAGCTAAGAGAGAAGTAGTGTGTTAAGTGGCATCCAGAGGTGGGCTCGGAAGGAGCTTTGTGTTGAAGTGACTGGCAAACTCCACAGAGCACAGAAACAGAGTAGAAGCTGGAGAGCTCAGTGGGTTATTCCGTGGCTACGAGTGGGTACTTGGGTGGAGGTTTTAGACTCACAGTTTTGCACACTTGCACGACAGAACCACAATTGGTATTTGTTTAAAAAGTGAGGAGAACTTAAAACCCACGTCCTATGTCAGTGTAAAGACCCAAACACATAAATACAGTAATAGGAACCAAATTTAGGCTTCCCTGAACATATCCAAAACTTTACAACCAGGAAAACTAAGATATATAAAAACAAACAAACAAACAAAAACTTTTTTTAAAAAAGCACCCTATTGTTTTAGTGGCCGTTTAAATTTTTTGTTTCATTCTGAAGAAATATGTTGATTTTAAAGTACACACCTAATTGGGGAAAGAAGTTATCCTCATTTTTTCAGTGCATGAACCAGACTACAGACAAGCCCCACAGCTCCTGCTCCTAGAAAAGGCAGCACAGGGAAACATCATCTCTGCAGGAGCCCCTGGCACAGTCACCGCGCACATCTGCCGTTGGCCATGGCAACCTGCTCAGAGGTATCTTACTGTTCTGCACCTTCTATTTCCCTGGACCATCAAATATCAGATCTTTAAAAGGAATGTTGCATACTCTGTTGTTAATACACAAGATCATCAAGCCATAAATACCAATATACATAGAATCCAACATGACCTTAGAGACGAGCTAAATCCCCTGAAGGGAACCGAGAATCCTCTGAAGGGAACCGAGAGCTAAGTCCAAGCTCCCAAGACAGGAGAACAGTGAGGTTCAGCCAGGGGTGCTGGTCTCAGCTCTTCCACCGGAAATGACGCTGGCTGTAAATACAGGCTTTCCACCACGGAAAGTGAACTGATAGGGCAGCGTACAGCCACTTGTCTTGCGTACGAGAGTCACACAGATACAAAAGGAAAGGGTTGCAAATAGAAAATGGAGCCTGGAGAAACAGTATTCATGGACGGATAGAGGGATGAGTATGACCTTCACAGACACAAACTAAGGAATTTCCCCTTCAAAATGTTGGGGATAACCACTCTCCTGGAAGCTCCATTTCTCTAGCACTCTGTAACATTAGTAGACTCTCATCAATGAGGCAAGTAAAATGTAGCAGCGAATTAGTTACAGCGTTGGCTCCCGGCAGGTCGCGCGCATGCGCACTTCACCAAGAGCGCTCTAGCGCTCTCTGGATTTGTGAGAGACACATACATGTCAACTAATTTTGGTGTGCCTTGACTAAGACTAATTATAGTCTCATAATCAAACTTAAGTTGTTTAACATTGAGAAAGATGATACAGAAAAGATGATTTTCAGATGATAGTACAAGTTAAAGTCAAAACATAAAATTATAAACTCTCTAAGTCAAGATAAATAGTACTTTATCTAACTGACAAATATGATAGACTAGATGTTAATTATATATATATCATATTTTGTAATTTACATAATTGTTATAATTATACTCAATTTGTAGCTGAGAGAAGAACTTTTTTTTTAACTTGGACCGAAAAGGTGAGATGTTGGAAATTGGCTCTAATGTTTTGTCTTATTTCGGCTCCCAAAAAGCCGAGCTTCCAGACCTGAGGGTCCCTGCCCCAACTGACTTTGGTTGATAATAAAAATTTGCCATACAGCCATTGGCTGGGCAGGGAGATGGGGCAGGACTTTTAGATTATGCGGGCAAGAGACCTAGAGAGCGGAGAATGGAGGAAATCACTGTGATAGGGAAGGAGAAAGATGAAACTTAAAGCCCCTCCTCCAGCATGTAAGAATCCCGGAAAGTGGCCCTAGAGGTCATTTCCCCAGTTGAGTCTGGGGTAGCAGAGATGAAATGTTGATTTAACAAATTGACTCAGGAAAATTGGAGGGGAGAATGTATGCTAGCCGCGAGGAGGATTAGAATGCCCAGCCATTGAGCTAGTCAAGGCATATCAAAATTAGCTGACGTATGTCTCTCATTCACAAATCTAGAAAACTCTTGGGTGGGTGCAGCATGTGCGCAACCCGCCAGGAGCCAAAGCGGTTTAACCAATGAACCACTACCGTAACAGTCTGAGAACAATGGGGACTATACAGTAAGAACGTGAGTATTACCCAAAGAATATGTCTATTGTAAGAAATAACATCATACCTCTTCAGCAGCACATTGACTGAAATTGAAAAAATATAGAGAAGAATATCATAGCACCTGGGCAAGGATAACACACAAATTCATAAGCATCCTATACCAAATAAAAAAAAGAATACCAATATTAATTTGCTTTGCAAATAGAATTTATAAATGTTATAACATTTTAAGGTGTTATAAAAAGGTGTTCGCCATCTTTGAATTTTTCTCAGCTTGCTCACTGACTTCTCGCCCTACCCACCTCCATCCCAGAAACTAACCCTGCATTTGCTTGCTTACTATTTATTCAGTAAATGTATATCGTTTACCTATTTTATTTGACTGTAGTTCACAAAATTCAGTGGAATCTTCAAAGGATAATTTTCACTTACTGCTCAAAGGAATCAAGCTCATTTCAGCTTTTATTGTTTTGTTTCATTTTGTTTTTTAAATAGAGTTCTACTTTTATAGTAGAAGCCGTTTTCCTTCTGCTGCGATTATCTGTTCTTTGAGCAAAATGGGGAGGGAGAGTGGAAGTTTCCCTGACATGGAGTCACTGGCATTTCACATATTTTACCATCCTCAAAAGAAGTGAGAATTGTCATCTGTCCTTTAGAAATATTTGGACATAATTTGAAAACCACCATAGCTTATGTGGGCTCCTGACAGGAGCTGGTTGGCAACGTCTTTATTTGCTCTGTTCGCTACGAGTTGGATTTTGGCTTTATTCGAAGCTTATGTCTCAGCTTGGTCCCCCAGCCTTCCACTATGCCAGCTGCTTTCACCAGTGAGCTCCCCAGTGGACTGTGATATCACACAAGTTATTCTCCACTTTATCTTTAATTTGGTCAGCAGCCAGTGTTTTCTGCAAAAGGCATTTGCTCCTCACCAAAAGATGAAGAAAGAAAGAAAGAAAAAAGCTAAGTCTAGTTTCCTGTGGACCAAATCCCGCAGGAATTCTGTGACCTCTGAGAAGGAGAAAAAGGTTAATCGTTAACAGTCCCATGCATGTGTCACTTACAGCTCGCCACTGGAGTCTCTCTGCCTAACACCCTTTCAGCGGTAGCATTTAGCACATTGAGACCAGACTGAGTTTTTTATTGCAGACTTCAATAAGACACAGGGTAAGTTTAAAGAAGGCCATCTTTAAGATTTATCCATGTGTCCTGGAATGAGGGTTCAGTAATTCCTTCAATCCACGCTGTCATCTCCCTTGGCTTTATGCTTTGTGTTAGTCTCTTAACATCGCACCTTATTTTAACAGCAATTATCACAACACACAACGTAAGTAGCACTAACAAAGTCTTCAGTCTAAGCCTTGAAAGCAGGGGCTGCTACCTCTACATGATTATTTCTAATGAGATCATCTATCTCAGGAAAATTAACTGTGTACATCCGAACTGTTTTCTGTAACCTGTGTCTCTACAGTTCACCTTTAAAATTCTCTGACAATAAACCAAAGGGGCCAATTGGATAGATTGTGTTTAAAAAGGAATTCGTCTCACCATATATTACTGTAACACTAGTTGAAACATTGGATATAAACCTGCAAACATACCATAAAAATAAATGAAATTAATAAACAGGGACAGTTGAAGCAAAAGTTGAGTTTTAAATAGAATTCACAGGTTCCAACTTTCTTCTGGGAACTTTAAAACTACATCAGTTGGTGATCTATCTCTGTGCGTGTGTCCTTAAATATCACTAATTCTTAGTGAGACTTGTTATTGATTTTCTACTTCAAAAGATGTGACATAAGATCTTCATTTCTTGAACATTCAGCGTTTGACCAAGAGCATTACGTTTCCTGAAATGTCAAAAAATCTTCTATATCTATGTATGTCTAGATACTCATCAGAAGAGATTTGAGCGGCTCACTCCTTGAAAACAATGTGAGCCTTTGCGATGCTAGAAGTAACCTAACAGAATCCTTTGTTTTTATTTCACAAGCTTGTCCCCAAACTGGGTCTCTGTGTATGATGTGATTGATCAGCATCTGAAATAATGGCCATTTCTAGAAGCATATACTTAGTATAATTTTATAACTCCACGTTTTCCTTAGAAATCTATTAACCCACTATTCCTGAAACCAGCCTCTGAAACAGCAGTTCTCAACCTGAGAATTCAACCCTTTGGAGGGTCGAATGACCCTTTCACGGGGGTCGCCTATGATCATTGGAAAACACAAATATTTACATTACAATTTATAACACTAGCAAAATTATAATTATGAAGTAGCAAAGAAAATGAGTTTTGGGGGGTTGGAAGTCACCACAAACATGAGGAACTGTATTGAATGGCCACAGCATTAGAAAGGTTGAGAACCATCGCTCTAGAGGATAGTTATAAACTTTACATGTTAATTGATGGAACCATTTCTGTGTTCCAAAAGAGTCTGGAACCTTTTGGGGAGTTGAAGTACACATTATTACTTTACAATATGGGAAGATGTGCCTTGAAAAAAAAACAGCAGGGAGGCAACCTGCAGTTTTACTGTGTATATTTTATGCTCTTTTGTCTTATGCAAAATAATATTTTATAAAGAAAGTATCACATGCTGCTTTGCAATAAATGAAAACTAGATCTCAGAGAAAGTAGAGAAAAAGAAGAGAGAGAGAGAATTCATAGCAAAGATCAGACTTTAGGGACTAGAGATATGTATGCACATCTTAAGAACTTACGGATTGAGTGTTGTAATGAAAGGTCGTATACCTCTCCCTTGGAGGTTCTTATCAAGAGAGAAACAATAAGAAGGGAGTGAGAAAGGATAAAACAGAGAGCAAGAGAAGGGGACGAAGGGGTGTTGGGTTGTCTAATCTGTGTTTCCAAAACTCAGTGGACTGTAGAACTCTTTATTCAAGAGTCTGTGAGCACCAGAGGCATGCTGTAGTCTTCAACCAACAGCTCCCACGAGATAAAGAGGATCTAGTCTGTCGCTTTTGCCAGTTTCCATGGTGTAAATACTTTTCCACAACCAGTCTCAAGCTGCCTACAGGGCATTCGCCGACTAGTATAGCTTCCCCTCCTGCCCAATCCTCTCTCTTGGGCATACCCACTTTTAAAATGAGCAAACCGAGACCCAAATAAATGAGAGATGCTGTAAAGCTGCGCAAGCGCGCAGCCACTCACACGTACGGGCATCTCTGCTCTTCGTTCTGAGGTCAACAGTGATTCGATATTATCTACCTACAAATATTCAGCTCTGTGGGTGGGAAGGATAATCCTATAGCATCCAGTGGTTAAAAAGGAGCCCTGCCTCCGAAATACAACCTTCGCATCTTACTTGTTCAGCTCTTCTGCGTAGAGATAGCATAACGTAGCTAATATGCCATGTTACCGATGCCGTCTAAAAACTAATGAGAAATTCAAGTTTATTAGTTTACAATTTGTCTCAGTGCATGGTCAAAAAAAAGCAGTATTATAACTTAAAATATCATTATGAAGTAAATCAAGTCTTGAAATCTCTTGAATCTCGGCATAAAATTGATTGCCTGGGCTAGAATGGATTAGAAGTAGCACACTTAGAAACGAAGGCAAATTAATTTGCATTATTTTATTGTTTTTGATGCTCTGACTTTTCTCTAAAATTATACTTTATTTTACATTTCCTTTACTTCATCATCCTCTCAAAGACAAGGATTTGTGAAGATACATGCCTTTAACAGATAAAATTGTTTGTTATTTATTTTTATACATTTCCATGAATAAATTTGATTTTGTTCATGGAAAGTGATACTCCTTCCTTAAGTTCAAAAATGAAAATATCTTCTCGTCATTTTCCTTTGAGGCTCATTATCTTTTGTGGCAGAGACGTCCCTGGGAACATTTCTATAAATGGATTTGTCCCTTAAATCCCAGGTGCCACCCTGACCAGCTTCCTGTGAGCTCAGATGAGTCCCCGAATCTAATAACCGTAATTTGGTTTCTCATAAAAAGGAATAGGAGAACAGTAATCTGTGCTTTACAAGGTGGTTGGTCTCAAAACACAAAGATTTTGAAAACTGACCGTCATGTTCATGAACTTCATTCTGATATTTGCCCATTTTCTAACATCTTCATTCTCTTACTGAAGTCCTGATGGGGGAAACACAGCTAGAGTTCAAAGTTATTTTTTAAAATCATCGAGAGCTGGAAACCATTCAGATTCTCCTCCTGTCTCATTAAGAATGGGTGCCAAGAATTGGCACCAGTGGACAGTTGGTGTCTTGTAAATGCAATAATGGATGTTGGTTGCTGCTGTAATTACTTCATGAACAGCATGACTACAGGGAATGTCTTAAACACAAAGACCTTACAAGATTCAATAAGTCACAGACACAAGATGAAAGGAAAGGCAGCTGGATAAAAAGTGAAGAAATAGGAGGGAGGAGGAGCTCCCCGCTGGTGGGATGTGGGGGGTTTCTGACAGGAATACCTCACACACCTCTAGGTGCACAATAACAAACAACCATGTCCTCTGCCACCCCTCTCTGGGAAGCTGCACTTGGGTTTTTTTCAGCTATTCTAATAAAATGGCAACATCTACCTTTTCAACTTGAAATTGCCCCCACCACATCTCCTGGATGCCTTCCAGCTGTGTGGTGATGGGTTCCTTTGGCCAGCCGCAAACATTGTACCGTGAGAAAGTTTCCTGATCATGGTGGGACAATCCTGAACAAAACAGACAACTATGAGAAGGAATGAGTCCTCCAAAAACTGGAACCTGATCCTGCATCTTCATTGCTCTGCCCAGTTTCTTCCAAGAAGTTTCTCATGCTTCTTGTAGGTAGAATTATCTAATGAGAGAGTCTGGTGAAAATCTTGAAAATGGTGTTATAAGAAGATGTTTTAAAAAAAAAAGTACCGTTTAAATACTATTTTGCCACCAAATCTCTCTCCCCAGCTGCATCGCTTCAGCCCACAGTAATCTTCTAGGGTGTGTTGTTCCATTTTGTGGGTGAAGTGAGAGTTCAAGAAATTGACTTGTTCAGGCCAATGGAAGTCTGTTGGAGAAGGATCTAGGATCCAAATATCAAGTTCTGTGACCCTTGCATTGCGTCACACCAGCTCTTAAACTTGACATGGCGTGAACTTGACCTTAGGTCCTGCTACCTAACTACTTATCGATATTAGTTTGTCTCCAGACC